GTGCCAAAATTCAGCATGTCCCTCTGTCAACCCTGTGTCACTTCTAGGAAGATTTCAACCCACTTAATCCAAAAATGTCTCCAAGTTTCACCATCATTGTAAAGCCCTAGTTATGTTGTTGCTTTGACAATGTCATTTCTGAAGATTATTATTTATTTAATGTGATTAGTGATTCATTTATTTCTGTCCCTCTTTTTAAGGTCAACCCTGTTATGTGAACTGAACTCTCATTTTAATATGGTGAAAATATTCCTTTTGAAATATTTTTGTCAAAAGATACATTGAACATCTAATAGTCAAATCATAGTGTAAAAGCAGGTGAGCTGGTTCTACTCTTTTTGGCAATTTTCTGGTCTTTTGTGGTGGAAAACTGGGCGGGTCGAGCATAACACGTCAACCCTGTTACCCATAGATAGACAGGCTAGAAATGTTTTAGCAATTTCATTTTTTTTGTGAAGCTTGCATTCAGTTACCACTCCCTGTTGCACACAACAAGCTTCCATTCTCCCTCATGAGGGGATTTATTCCTGATTTAAGATGAGATCATTAACCCTGTTACGGTCGATCAATCCTGTTTTTATTTGGCACTTATAGGTACTTACTTTAGTCATTTTTTTATTTAACTTCTTGAGATGGGATGATGTGTTTTGTATTAAGTTGAACATGTGCTCTTTATGACAGAATGTTAAAATTAGGTGAAATCAAACGTTGTTTTGACCAAGTTACACTTCTCAAAAGGCTACGAATTGGTGGAACAACCCTTATGGTTTCTGCCTCTGCTGTCTCTCTCAAATCAAAGAGTGCATCCAAACCCAGATGCACTCTTTAGTCAAAATGGCTAGCTAGGCCTAGCTATTTAGGTCACACTTTCAATGCAGCTGGTCTGAATTTCTCAAAGTCATGAACTTCAAAGTCTAATCAATCCCAAATTCGTATTCTTATCAGAGGCCAAATCAGGGTTATCTTATGCAATTATATTTGGGCCTAGGGTGAACTTATCTGACATGTGAGATTGAAACCACATGTTGAAATAAAAGGATGTGAACCCTCTTGATGAGTAACCATCTATTCATCTATTACACAGTCAGTCTCTATAGGAATACCAGTATGTGAGGATTGAACTTTTTCAGACTGTAGATAATGAGAATAAATGATTGATTGACTGTACTGTATGAGCGCTGCCTCTAGAGCAAACAGTGTTGTGTGTCTCTGTGTGCCACGTTCACTCATCTGTAGAGAGTGTATTCAAGGGATGGTGTTGTCAACTCGCAACTGTTCAAACAGAGACATAATTCCAGGTCCCACCACCACCATCACACACACACACATACACGCACACACACACACACACACACACACACACACACACACACACACACACACACACACACACACACACACACACACACACACACACACACACAGCAATAGTCCCCCTTCTCGCTCCCATACCTAAGCTTCAGCTTGCATGTCTCCCTTAGGCAGTGACAGCTCTGAGTAAGACACAGTGAACACAGTTGGTCCAAACGGACATTATGGCCTGATTCCATCACAGTGACTCTAATGAGCCCTTGTATTTAGCTAGCTAGATATATTGTCCCATGAGTCTCCATAGTTCTTGTTGCCCCTATAGCATTACATTACAGAGTTGTCTCGTGTTGGCATCTCATGCCCATCCATGTGTTGTGTGTATTTTAATTCAGCAGGACTGTGAGAGTGTGTTCACATATGGGAGTTTACATTAGGAGAGTCATTGCGGTTTCTTGAGTGAGGGTGAAAAAAGCAAAAAACAAATTCCCACCAGAGGCCCTAGCTGTAATTATTTTTACTTTTTTACTCAAGCCCCTTTTAGAAGCCTGAGAGAGACCACTCCCTCACTCCTTCTCCACCCCTCCTCTCCAAGTACATCCCAAATGGCACCCTATTCACTATATAGTGCATTAATGTTGACCAGAGCCCTATGGGCCCTGGTCAAAAGTAGTGCACTTTATAGGGAATAGGGTGCCATTTGGGACACAGCCTCGGCCCTGTAATAAGTCAACCCAGCTGCCTGTGATGTTGCTTGGGGCGGAAAGAAAAAGAGGGAGGGGATAAATGTGGGGGGGGGGGGGGGGGGGGGGGGGGGGGGGGGTAGGAGAGGCAGGAGGGGAAACAGAGCTGATTATCCAAATACAGTCATTAAAGGGGAAATGTGTTTTTCAAACTGTCAAGATGATTAATGGGGTAGAGCAAATCCTCACAAATGCTCTTGTTTAGTCTAACTGGCAGACACGATCCTGCCCATTGATTTATGGCAGGCCTGGTGTGTGAGGCCATAGTGGGGTTAGGGGAGGGCTGGGGGAGGGAGGGGGAGGAGGGGAGAGGCAGGATGGTGAGGAGCGAGGAAAGGGATTTGTGGTGAGGGAGCATTAGGGCACAGGAGGTAGCGAGTTAGGGAGGGATAGAGGAGAGGAAGGGAGGCATGGAAGGGTGGGAGGGAGAAACAGCAAAGTAAATACTGAGACTCTGACAAACTTTTGCCCCTTGGCTTTAGAAAGCAACATGTCAAGAGTAGGCTTTCCAGTGCTACTTTCATATTTTTGGTGTTATGAAAGAAAAAATTTGTCACATTTTCAATCTCAATAAATCACCCAAGCAATAAATCAACGAACCTGTCAAACTGCCTTTGAGTGAGTGAATTAATAGGCCTACAGTCACAGCACTAGATTATACTATAAATCCCCTTTAAGTAAGAAAGGGACACAAAACCATTTATTTTTCCATTAATCAGGGTGAGACTTCATGTCATAACTGTGCATACATGTACAACATGTTTCCTAAGACATGGGATATGTACTGTCAAGTGTAATGCAACTACAGTACAACTCTCAATGGATAGAGAGTACATCACTGGGGCCAAGCTTCCTTGTCACGATCGTCATAATGAGCGGACCAAGGCGCAGCGTGATATGAGTACATACTTTTATTTTAATTCACCACACGAACAAAAACAACAAAACGATACGTGAAGTCCTCGGTAACATACACAAACCTACACGGAACAAGATCCCACAAAACACAAGTGCACAAAAGGCTGCCTAAGTATGGTTCCCAATCAGAGACAACAAGCAACAGCTGATTCTCGTTGCCTCTGATTGAGAACCACCCCGGCCAACATAGAAACACTTAAACTAGATCGTGAACATAGAACACAAAACATAGACCCTACACACCCTGGCTCAACATATAAGAGTCCCCAGAGCTAGGGCGTGACATTCCTGCCATCCAGGACCTCTACACCAGGCGGTGTCAGAGGAAGGCCCTCAAAATTGTCAAAGACTCCAGCCACCCTAGTCATAGACTGTTCTCTCTGCTACCGCACGGCAAGCGGTACCGGAGTGCCAAGTCTAAGTCCAAAAGACTTCTCAACAGCTTCTACCCCCAAGCCATAAGACTCCTGAACAGCTAATCATGGCTACCCGGACTATTTGCACTGCCCCCCCACCCCATCCTTTTACGCTGCTGCTACTCTGTTAATTATTTATGCATAGTCACTTTAACTCTACCCACATGTACATATTACTTCAACTACCTCAACTAGCCGGTGCCCCCGCACATTGACTCTGCACCGGTACCCCCCTGTATATATAGCCTCCCTACTGTTATTTTTTCTCAACACTTTTTTTGTTGTTGTTTTATTTTTACTTTTTTGTTTAAAATAAATGCACTGTTGGTTAAGGGCTGTAAGTAAGCATTCCACTGTAATGTCTGCACCTGTTGTATTCGGCGCACGTGGCCAATAAAATTTGATTTGATTTGATTTGGATATGACTAAGACAATAATAAAAATCCATCAATGCATTCATCAAAACTCCCAACTGGTTTACCCAAAAGTTCTAGAACGTGTCCCAATCCCAAATGGCACCCTATTCCCTATATAGTGTTCTACTTTTTACCAGAGTCCTGTGGGCCATAGGTTTACCATACAAACTCCACATCGCCTATTGATGAGTCCCTGCAGACCACCCTTTTCCTTCCAGCAAGGCCAGATAGATGGCTAGCAGCTGTTAGCCTTACACCCTCTATCTAGTTCCTCCAGCAGATGCATGAGGGGCTGTCTATCTGGAATTTTCTCATTCTTCCACTGCCCCACTGAAGCCTTCGAAAAGCCTTTCCCACACCCCCACAGCACCGCACACACTGTGTCTCAATGTACCACAAATATACTCAAGCACATTCACAGGACCATTTTACCCCGCCCACGCACACACACTGTACACATACACTGTACACATACACTGTACACACACGCTGAGCCCTCTCTCATAACTCTTCAGATGAAGAGGAAGACGCTAAATGGAGATCTCAGCAACGAGGAGAAGATTCATGTGGTACTGGAGAGAGAGAGAGAGAGAGAGAGGGGGGGGGGGGGAGAGAATGTGTGAGAGAGAGAGGGGTGAGGGAGGGAGAGAGAAAGATGGAAAGAAAGAAAGAGAGAGAGAGGGAGAGAAAGAGAGAGAGAGAGAGAGAGGGGGGAGAGAGAGCGGGGGTAGGGGCGAAGTGTTTCATCTGTGGGTAGAGATATGGAATTCTCATTTCTCTCTCTCCTCTCTTTCCTATCTTCTCCTTCTCTCGCTCTCGCTCTCTCTCTCTCTCGCTTTTCCTCTTGCCTCGCTCCTTCCGCTCTCGTCTCTCTCTCTCTCTCCGCGCTCTCTTCCTCTCGCGAGCTCTAGAGAGAGAAAGAGATAGGTCAAGTTTATGTTACTCTGCACTGGGACCACTTCTGGCAGCAGAGAGGAGAGGAGGACATCCAAGACCTGGAACACAAACAGTAATGATAATAAATGGCACTGAAAAGGAGGAGAGGGGAAAGGTAGCAGAACATCAGTGTCCAAAAGCTGAAAGTAATATCTTGACTTATTTCCTTCCTCCATAACTTTGTGTCAGGTGTCTTAGCCATTGTGAGGCTATGGTGATTTATCCTAAAAGAGGGGGAGGGGGAGGTAGCGGGTGGATGTCAGATGGAGATCGCTTGGAAGCTGGGAGAGAGGGAGGGAGGCAGGGAGGGAGGGAGGGAGGGGAATGCAGGGTATGATTATGAGTGGTTGGCCAGCATGTCTTGTGAGTTGAGAGGAGTCTTGCCCAGCTGTAAGCTCACTCATGGTGCCATGGCCTTCTTGTCTGTCTGAGGGTGTGTATGTACAGTATGTACACCCATCTGCCTGTGTGTGTGTCTGAGTGCCTGCACCACGTATGTGTGCGTGTGTGTGTGTGTGTGTGAGCGTCTGTGTGTGTTGAGTTTGTCCCAGCTGTGAGCTCACCGACAGTGCCCCTGGCCTCCTGGTATGTGTGTGTCAGGGCCCTGTGATTAATGACCCACAGGCCTTGTTTCTCCTGCTTCCTTCCTTTCCAGCCATGTCACACTCACCGTCACACGTCAACCTAATGGACGCCGGCAGATTTATACTAGAACAACCCCCACTAGGCCACAGCAATAGACTGAAGGTTACTAGGTACTAAACATACACATACATGCATGCGTGTATGTGCAGTACCTAGTAACCTTCAGTCTATTGCTGTGGCCTAGTGGGGGTGCACACACACACATAGACACACACACACACAAACACACACACACACACACACACACAGACTCAGAGAAACACACACGCACACAAACAAGATACAAAGCTCCAGGGATAATTCAGACATTTCCAGTCCAAACCCCGCTTATCAGCCTCTTCTGTTCTGGAAGGGAAGAAAGTGCTGCAGTGGGCATGTGTGTAAGTGAGGGTGTGTGTTTGAGTGTGTGTGTTCGGCTGTCTGTAGATTTGCTGTGCGGTGTAAGTTTGTGTGAGAGCAGCAGCAAAGCTTGCATGTGTGCTGGTTCCCAGCCTGTCAGAGGGCTGTCAGGCTGTGATTTATGGTTGCTAGACTCGGAGCAGTCTTCGCTGCCAGTTCAGTATTGTTACAACTGACAGCTAATGAGGCCAGACGTGCTTTCAAGCACAGCACTTAACAGAGGCCTCCATCTACACCAGTCACCGGGTCCTTTTCCTCCTCCTTCTCTCTCCCATTTATTTTATCTTCTAGAGTGACAGTGTAGAGAGGGCTAGCAGCCATGAGAGCCCTGCTGGGGTACTGAGAGAACAAGACAGAGCAGAGCAGACAGAGATGTGTGGAGGACACTCTCTTTCACTTCCACTCTTCACTACCTCATGCACACTATTTAGCCAGACTTCACACAAAACAGGTACAAGCAAAACTCTTAACACCACGCCACCCTTTACTGCTGCTACACACTGGATATTATTAATGTTACACTGACATGGTGTGATTTATATGATATTCTAAAAAGAGTAACAGTAAGGAAACAGTGATGATATCACAATGGTGGGCTCCTTGTTGTTCAGACAGTGGAAACATACCTGGACTATGAGTTTTAGGCAGTGGTCTTGTCTGTTCTACCTTCAACACAGCTCTGTGTGTAGACCCCATGCAATAATCACTACCAGAGTCTCTGGCAGCAGCACCCGTGCCCCCCCTTCCCTGGCCCCTGGTTCCTTGTCAGTCGTGATTAATGGTAGGGCCCCGGTGCGGCTTACGTTGCCAGTTCCAGCGATGTTCCCTTGATACTTAATGAACTCTGACAAACTTATTTTCCCTTGCTCTGTTGTTCCTTTTTTCTTTCCTCGTTTAAAATGCACAGCACAGATCTGCCATGCACTGCGGCACCTAGAGGTTAGGGCTGGCTGGTTTCATATGTCTGAAGCGACTGATCGAGGGCTAAAATAAGGTTTGTTGTGGAGGTGAGAAAGCAGTAACACATATACATCAGATGTTTTTCAAGCTTGATGAGGTGTTATCACTCTACTTTGTGAGCTGCACAATAAATAATCTAATGTATCCTAACTATAATGGAGCTAGATCATCTTAAATAGTATTTTGTACTTGCTGCCAGTGCTGCAGTCCACCGCTAGTCTCACCATCATCAGCTAATTTAGTCAGTCCAGCACATGGAATCAGGTTTCAAGTTCAAGTTTCAAGTTTTTAATGTCACGTGCACTTGTACTGTGAAATGCCTTTCTTGCTAGCTCTTTCCCAGCAATGCAGTAGTACTATATATTTTTTATTAAGTCGAACAAAAACACGAGAAATATCAATAAGAAGAACACAAGAAAGTAAGTAATCTACACTATATACAGGGTCAGTTCCAGGGTCAGTGCCAATACCATATTTACAATGTGCAGGGACACTGGAGTTGTAGGGTTAGATATGTATAGGGGTAAGGTGACTAGGCACCAGGATGTATGATAAACAGAGTAGCAGCAGCGTTTATGATGATTGTATGTGCGTGTGTGTAGTCAGTATGAATGTGTGTGTGTGTTATGTGTGTGTGAGCAAATGAAGTGTGTGTGTGTGTGTGTGTTGGCGTGTCAGTGTGAGTGAGTATGTGTGAGTGAGTGTGTAGAATGTGCATAGAGTGATTGTGGGAGTGTGCATAGAGATAAAATAGAAGGATCAATACAGATAGTCTGTAACAATTTCGTTAGCTATTTAGCAGTCTTATGGCTTGGGGATAGAAGCTGTTCAGGAGCCTGTTGGTGTCAGACTTCACGCTCCGGTACAGCTTGCCGTGCGGAAGCAGAGAGAACAGTCTTGGGTGGCTGGAGTCTTTAACAATTTTCCGGGCCTTCCTTTCACACTGCCTGATATAGAGTTCCTGGATGGCAGGGAGTTCGGCCCCTGTGACGTGCTGAGCTATTCGCACCACCCTCTGTAGCGCTCTCCAATCAAGGGTGGTGCAGTTGCCATACCAAGCATTGATGAAGCCAGTTAGGATGCTCTAAATAGTGCAGCTGTATAACTTTTTGAGGATTTCAGGGCCCATGACAGAACTTTTCAACCTAAAGAAAAACACCAAAAGCAAAGTTGGGTTGGAGCTCCTTATAATCAACTGCAACTAACTGAAAACATTAGGCTACTGTGGCATAACTTTATATAAATATTTGGAATATTGTCAAACTTGATACAGATAAACCATACATTCGACTATATCCCCAAAATATTCAAGACAACATTGGTCCTCAAATGGCTCTCAAACAAATGACAATGAGGGAGTTCGATTAAGTGAACCGGGCTATGGCCTATGATGTGAATGGGCAAAAGTGGAGAGGGAGGATCACCCTTCTCAAATCGAACAATAATCTGCGCCGCTTGGTTATGTTATCAACAAGGCAGCATGATGCATTGTTTAGAAACACACATCTCTTTTCCGTAAAATATATGTTCGAATTTTCAAAGTAGTTCTATTGGGAAGGCAGATAAAGCCTTTTAATCAAAAGTAATCACTTTTGCATGTGAAAACACAGAATCCTACTCTTTACTCCACGTGCTTAACCGTTTTATTTTGAGCCAACTTTGCCAAAATGGGGCACCGAGCTCACGCCAGGGAGGCAGCCCTGTTCCAAAACGAATGCAATCAACACTGGCACGGGACATTAATCAAATCCCCTCACTGGACAGTCTATATACTCACACAGGTCCTTCCGTTACAACGCTCTCATCTGCAAACTGGATTTAGGAGTGGTTTTATACCATTACATGTTCCCCACTCATTATGATCCCCTGTGAAGCACTGACCAAAACTATGGTTCCTACCTTGTTCCAGTGATATAAAAGCACTCTGCCCTATTGTATCACAGCAAACAGTGTAGCAATTTACCTATCAGTAAACTTGTATAAATGCGTGATATAAATGCCACAATTAATAGAAAAATCATAAACCTAGATATATGATTACAAAAATTCACAGAAACAACTTCTACACAACAGTCAGAATATATAGCTTTCTTTGATATAGTCTTTGTTGCCCTCTGCCGGTTTTGTGGGATATTTCCTCTAAAGGCACTGAAGAACGCCCAACTGATGACGCAAAATTCGGAAGTGAACCTTGTAGTAGGTGTTAGCGGATATGTTTTGGCGTTCCTCATTGAAGACCATGTATGTTGCATTGATCCGATCTGTAATAGACTATGGAAATATAGCATATGGTTCGGCAGTCCGGACCTCACTGGAAAGGCTAGATGTCATGCAGGGGCAAGGACTCAGAATATGTAGTGGGGCGTTTTGGACGTCCCCAGTGGCTGCATTACAGGTGGAGATGGGGGATATGCCGTTGCAGATTAGGAGACAGCAGCTGGCAATGAATTACTGGGTCTGGGTCAATTTACAAGGACATGGGGTGTCTCATCCTGCGAAAGGGATTTTACAGGCATGCTGGGAACATGAGCGAAGACCGAACACGAGCTTTGGGTGGGTGGGTAATAACCAGGCGAAGGAGATGGGACTGTATGGAAGGGAGTTTAGTCCAACGGTAGTTATTACTGTAAATCCACCATGGCTACTCCCGTCTCCAGTAGTTGATCTAGAAGTGTTGGAGAGACTACAGAAAGATAGGGAGGGTGTTGATCCAGCTGATTTCTTTAAGAGACGTCTGGAAACTGTGTATCAGGATTTTGTGGCCATTTACACAGATGGTTCAAATGATCCAAGGACAGGACGTACTGGGTCAGCATTTGTAGTGCAGGAATGTGGGGTGGAAGTCAGGAAACGTATTACAGATCATTTGGCTGTATATACGGCAGAGCTGATGGCCATACTGTTGGCCTTGCAGTGGGTGGAGGAAGTTAAACCAGACAGAGTAGTTATTATGCTCTGATTCATGTGCAGTGTTGATGAGTCTCCAGTCCTTTAGCTCACGTAGCAGACAAGACCTGCTTTATGAGGTGCTACAAACCGATGGCAGGATTAAACAGATGGGTATTCAGATAAGATTTACTTGGGTTCCAGCCTATGTGGGGGTGGAGGGGAACGAGGCGGTAGATGAACAGGCTAAACAAGCACTTAGTAGTGGGGATGTTGATGTTGAAGTGTCAATGAGCAAGGCAGAGGCAAAAATACTGATATATACAGTGATGGTGCAGGGATGGCAGGAGCAGTGGAATATAAATAATAAGGGAAGGCATTTATTTCAGGTACAGAGGAAAGTCGGGGAGGGGAGGACGGCAGGAAGGGACAGAAGAGAGGAGGCTATTTTTACAAGATTAAGGGTGGGACACAGCCAGTTGAATAAGACATTAAACGTGATAGGAAAGCATCCATCAGGAAAGTGTGATTATTGTCAGGAAACAGAGACTGTGGAGCATTACAGTATGGGCAGTATCAGGGGGAAGAGAGAGGATGAGATTTAGTATGAGGGAGAAGGGGATACAGGAAATTAGTTTAAAGAGTATATTGAGTAAAGCGTCACAAATATTTTGTTATCTTTTTTAAGAGAAACGGGGTTGGCAGGTAGGATTTAGTTGATCCCTGTCTCTGGCCCACACTCCATTACGGTAGGTGGCGGTAATGCGCCATAACGTTGGATGCCAACCTCAAGAAGAAGAAGGAGGAGGCACCTCGAGTAATAATACAGGTAATAGTACGGGTTTCTAGTACACTTTTATCAATGGCCTTTTCAAGTATCTAAAAGCGACAACAATGTATGTGAAATATTTAGTCATTGGGTGTGACTTTCTCCGTGTTTAAAATCGAGCGTAGGTTAGATACCTTCCTCTGTAGGAACTAACATAGTTAGCATAACAAGCTAAACTGTTGTTGCACAATGCCTGTTACGTAGTTGGCTTATCTTGTCTTGACTTGCTGGAGAGGGGTGTATGAGTAAGTCCAAGACTGGGCGATTAGATAACTAATTCATGTTTAGCTGTCAGCATTCTGTCAACTGAAAGTGAAACAACTTCTCCATGTTAGACTTAGAAAGTGGAACCAAAGATACTGAACCAAAGATGACTGAACCTTCACGTGCGAGCTCAAGTTTCACGACCTGGTATGAAAAGCCTACTTGTTATCATTGATTGACTGACTTGATCTTATCTAGACAAGATCACTATAGTAGCTTTATGTGGTTCTTGTTGTAGCTGTGCACAGACTAATATCTTGTGGTAGACTTCAGTTGATGATGTTTTCAGAGTGAGGTGAGGCAGGCGAGAAGTTTCCTTGCCTGTCTTGGTCAACCCTCTTATAATGTTGCAAGGTCAGTCCCTGCTGATGTCTCAGCTAAGCTTCTTCTTCCTGACTAATAGGAGTTTACCTTGACAGCAACATGCCTGCCCTGCACGTGGATGCCTAGCTGGCACAGAACGTTTTTGTAATGTTCTACTACAACATTGTAAAAACGTTTTTTTTTTTTTTTTTTGCCAGCTGATTGATCTCACATCCAGAGCCTTCTATTTATAAATAGAAGGCTCTGCTCAGATGTTGTTTTTAGCTACATGCAGCTGATTCCATTCTAATTAACTGTCCTAACATCCAGAACTTGCAAGATGACTATTTACTACACTACAACTCAATTTTTGTAAAAGCTGTAGGCTATTTGTAAGGTTATGTATTAGATGAGACTTTAACTCGTCAGTGAAAGGCATCTACAGTGCATTCGGAAAGTATTCAGACCCCTTCCCTTTTTCCACATTTTGTTACATTACAGCCTTATTCTAAAATTGATTTAAAAAATAAATAAATAATCTCATCAATACCACATAATGACAAAGCGAAAACAGAAATACCTTATTTACATAAGTATTCAGTCCCTTTGCTATGATAATCGAAATTGAGCTCAGGTGCATCCTGTTTCCATTGATCATCCGTGAGATGTTTTTACAACTTGATTTGAGTCCACCTGTGGTAAATTCAATTGATTGGACATGATTTGGAAAGGCACACACCTGTCTGTATAAGGTCCCACGAAAAACCAAGCCATCCAACCTGACAGAACTTGAGAGGATCCGCAGAGAAGAATGGGAGAAACTCCCCAAATACAGGTGTGCCAAGCTTATAGCGTCATACCCAAGAAGACTCAAGGCTGTAATTGCTGCCAAAGGTGCTTCAACAAAGTACTGATTAAAGGGTCTGAATACTTATGTAAATGTGATATTTCAGTTTTTACATTTGCAAAAATTGTAAAATCCTGTTTTTGCTTTGTCATTATGGGGTATTGTGTGTAAGTTGATGGGGGGGGGGGGGGGGGGGGGCTATTTAATACATTTTAGAATAAGGCTGTAAAAAACAAAATGTGGAAAAAGTCAAGGGGTCTGAATACTTTCTGAATGCACTGTAAACTAGCCTATTATTTAATTCATCCATCCCCTATGTCCAACATTGTGCATGCCAATCCTTTTAAAACTCATTGTTTATTCTTCATCTTCTTCCCAGGATGGCACAGTTGGGTGCCATTGCCACAATAATCTGTGCGATCGGAGGTGCAGCTCTCTTCGCCTCTGTTCACAAAATTGAAGAGGGACACACTGGAGTTTACTACAGGTCAGATTTATGTCTTAATTTAGATTGATCGATTATTATGTAACACAGACATGTCTCTTCGACATGCATGCAGAGTAAGGAATCGTATCATCTCTATTTGTGGCATATCTATCTGCAACATTTGTTATGTTGCTCCCTCCTAAACGTGTCCCTGACGTGTGTGTTCCACAGGGGAGGAGCTCTCCTGACCACCACCAGTAACCCTGGCTTCCAACTCATGATGCCTTTCATCACTAACTTCAAGTCTGTGCAGGTAAGACCGGTGTCAGGAACAGGCCCTGGGCATGACTTGTCTGACGGGGGTTTAGGCTGAAATGTAGTTGAACAAAGAGAGGAGGCACTGAAACCTGACTGGTCTGAGATGTTTTTGAGGTGAAATGTAGTAGGGCAAAGGCTGAGGCTGGAATTCAATTAAACGGCAAAGTTTAGGCAGTTTCTTTGTTTACAAAAGTCACCCTGTGCCCGCACACTTCTTATTCGGAAAAGTGATAGCAAACCTATGATGGTAGTCTACCAGGGGTGTATTCACTAGGAACCAAATGGAACGAAGCGGGGAGGGACCTGCCTATATTTGTCTAATAGGAGCTCTAGTTTTCGGTTTCCATTAAAAAACGTTTTGCTACGAGTGTGCTACTAATGAATACACCCCTGGTAGGTTTTCATACAAAAAAAAGGTGTTGTATTGGTACATATACCGGATAAGTGCAGTGAAATGTGCTGTTTTACAGGGTCAGCATAGTAGTATGGTACCCCTGGAGCAGATTAGGGTTAAGTGCATTGCTCAGATTTTTCACCTTGTCAGCTCGGGTATTCGAACCAGTGACCTTTCGCTTACTGGCCCAACACTCCAATGGCTAGGCTACCTGCCGCCCAAATACCTGTTGGAAGAGTTTTTTGACCATGGGAAAAGGAACTACTGTGTAAATACTACAATGCAGGTTTTATTGAATTGAGCCCTGCAGAAATTATGGATTTGTTGAGTGTTTAACACCTTCTCTTTCTGTTTTTGTAGACCACTCTCCAGACTGATGAAGTGAAGAATGTACCATGTGGCACAAGGTAGGGTTGTCTGTCATCACTGCCTGAAATCAACTTAATGGATGCAAAGATTACCAGCTAGTTTTATCTCCATTCTTGTGGATTTATTGCATGTATGTCTAGTTACATTCTGTTTTATTTGTTCAGTGGGGGAGTGATGATTTACTTTGACCGGATAGAAGTGGTGAACTACCTCGTACCCACAGCAGGTAAAGTCATTAGCCAATGCATCAAACGTTGGAGCAAATAATCCAATTTTGACAAGGTGCTCGAAGTTTTCTCTCTCAACACAAAACTAAAAACTGATCTTACTTGTGACATAACATGTCTAATGTTCAAATCCCTCCTTAGTATATAGGCTATATTGTTTCAGAACCAATGTAACCCATGTATTGTAAGAGTGTGTTGTCCGCTGCACCATCAAGTCACTTTTGTTATGACAGATGTAATGGTAGGGGCAGCCAGCCGTGGGATGGTTGTGTACTTAGCAGTGTTGTAATTGAGACCGGTCTCTTTTTTTCACCATTCTGAATCTCTAAAGAATCGAATGTTCTTCTAAAATATGAACACAGAAATACTGGACATTTTGAGCTCTTGTTATGGTGGCAATTTGACACAATTACAATCCCCCTCCAGTCTTGATCTTGACTCGGACTCGATTTGTTCCGGTCTTGAATCAGTCTCGCTTTACGTGGTCTCGAAGAAGAATAATAATAATAATAATAATAATAATAATAATAAGCCATTTAGCAGACGCTTTTATCCAAAGCGACTTACAGTCATGTGTGCATACATTTTTACGTATGGGTGGTCCCGGGGATCGAACCCACTACCCTGGCGTTACAAGCGCCATGCTCTACCAATTGAGCTACAGAGGACCACAACACTAGTACTTGGCAACCATTTTCGACAAAGCTTACTGTAGTCCGCCGATAGACTAGCGTCCGGTCCAAGGGGTGTTACTTGTACATCTGCCTGATGCTACGAAAACAGGAGATGGGCTTCTGCGCTATGGAGCTACGTATTTACTCTAGCCACTACTACTAACTTATACTGCTTTCACATAGGATTTACGGTACTGTATAAAACATTTGGCAATGTTTATATGACCCCCTTATAAACAGGCCCATTTTGACCACATTCTTGCCTGCATACACCATTGATACCTCCTGTGCGCATGCCAGAAACAAGTGGTAGTAGTGGTGTGCAGATATGGGTGGGCGTCAATTTTAATAAATCCATTGAGAATATACACCATCAAAAAGGAATCGATTATTAATTTGTTTAGGCAGGTCCTAAGAAACATAAGAATAATAAAATGTATTTTCAAAAGAATACTATAGCATATTTTGAGTTGAATTAGGCCTAGGTTACGGGTCTGTGTAGCCATGGCTGTGCCATCCAAATGAAATCAATAGTTTGTTATTTTGTTAATCAAACAGACAAGACACACCTACCCGATCACAGTCAACACACATATATTTTATAATAAGAATATAACAGAATAAAATACAATAAATATTTTTCCCACACATTTTACATTACATTTACATTTTAGTCATTTAGCAGACGCTCTTATCCAGAGCGACTTACAGTTAGTGAATACATTTTTTTTTTTTTATACTGGCCCCCCATGGGAAACGAACCCACAACCCTGGCGTTGCAAACGCCATGCTCTATCAACTGAGCTACATCCCTGCCGGCCATTCCCTCCCCTACCCTGGGCCAATTGTGCGCCGCCCATGAGTCTCCCGGTCGCGGCCGGCTGCGACAGAGCCTGGATTCGAACCAGGATCTCTAGTAGCACAGTTAGACCACTGCGCCACTCAGGAGCTAACACACAACTTGTGTCACGGTAATGTGTAAAACCGCTGTCATATTAAAAAAAGTGATATTTACGTCATTTAGCAGACGCTCTTATCCGACTTACAAATTGGTGCATTCACCCTATAGCCAGTGGGATAACCACTTTAAAATTATTTATTTTTTTATTATTTTTTATTTATTTTTTTTGGGGGGGGGGGGGGGGTAGAAGGATTACTTTATCCTATCCCAGGTATTCCTTAAAGAGGTGGGGTTTCAAATGTCTCCGGAAGGTGGTGAGTGACTCCGCTGTCCTGGCATCGTGAGGGAGCTTGTTCCACCATTGGGGTGCCAGAGCAGCGAACAGTTTTGACTGGGCTGAGCGGGAACTATGCTTCCGCAGAGGAAGGGGAGCCAGCAGGCCAGAGGTGGATGAACGCAATGCCCTCGTTTGGGTGTAGGGACTGATCAGAGCCTGAAGGTACGGAGGTGCCGTTCCCCTCACTGCTCCATAGGCAAGCACCATGGTCTTGTAACGGATGCGAGCTTCAACTGGAAGCCAGTGGAGTGTGCGGAGGAGGGGGGTGACGTGAGAGAACTTGGGAAGGTTGAACACCAGACGGGCTGCGGCATTCTGGATGAGTTGTAGGGGTTTAATGGCACAGGCAGGGAGCCCAGCCAACAGCGAGTTGCAGTAATCCAGACGGGAGATGACAAGTGCCTGGATTAGGACCTGTGCCGCTTCCTGTGTAAGGCAGGGTCGTACTCTCCGAATGTTGTAGAGCATGAACCTGCAGGATCGGGTCACCGCCTTGATGTTAGCGGAGAACGACAGGGTGTTGTCCAGGGTCACGCCAAGGCTCTTCGCACTCTGGGAGGAGGACACAACGGAGTTGTCAACCGTGATGGCGAGATCATGGAACGGGCAGTCCTTCCCCGGGAGGAAGAGCAGCTCCGTCTTGCCAGGGTTCAGCTTGAGGTGGTGATCCGTCATCCATACTGATATGTCTGCCAGACATGCAGAGATGCGATTCGCCACCTGGTTATCAGAAGGGGGAAAGGAGAAGATTAGTTGTGTATCGTCAGCGTAGCAATGATAGGAGAGGCCATGTGAGGATATGACAGAGCCAAGTGACTTGGTGTATAGGGAGAAAAGGAGAGGGCCTAGAACTGAGCCCTGGGGGACACCAGTGGTGAGAGCACGTGGTGCGGAGACAGCTTCTCGCCACGCCACTTGGTAGGAGCGACCGGTCAGGTAGGACGCAATCCAGGAGTGAGCCGCGCCGGAGGCTCTGTTTTGAAACAGAGCGCAAGCCCATGCTTTTTTTATCCATGTTTCATCACTTTCCTACCCACACTCCGTTTTGTTAGGGAGCAGGCGTAGGCTCTTGCCTTCATCATGATACCGATAGAAAATAATAGCAATCCTATTTTCAAAAGCATGTTAGTCTCAATCATATTTCAATCTTAGGTTCATATTTGGAGTTGCCTAGACACGATTGAGCAAAATAATAGGCCTACACTTGATTTAGGCTACATTATTGCACGCTAAATGTTTCTGATCAGTGATAGATGAAGCCAATTAACCAAATAGCCTATACAGATGGAGATTCATTGAAACAAAATCACATTGATTGATTATTAGTCATTGAAGTCACAGGCTTTTGGTTGGGGGTAGGCCTAGGCTACTAAGCGACTGTGACTGCAGAGCAAAATAATCCACTTATTAAACTACATAACATGGTATAATGTTCTAATAAATGAGCCAACTAGACAACATGATCATGGGCAGTGTCACGGTTTCGGCCGAGGCTGCTCCTCTTCCTTGTTCGGGCAGGCTTCGGCGGTCGTCGTCTCCGGAGTACTAGCTGCCACCGTTCTATGTTTCATGTTCATTTGGTTTTGTCTGTTCATAACACCTGTCCCTTATTTGTGTCTTAATTGTTTCCCTATTTAGTTTCGTGTGTGTGGGTCAGGTGTTATGCGTGATTGTTTTTGTCAGACTGCCTCTGTAAGGATACCTTTCTCTCGTTGTTGGCTTGTCCCGAGAGTTCGCACTGCGTGCGCTTTTCTTGTGTATTTCGCACCGTGTTTTGTGCGTAATTGTTTTGCGCCACCCGGTTGGGTTGGCGACTATTTTTGGGTTCACGTGTTGAACGTATATATATAAAAGACGGTTGAAGTCATCCTGGTTCCTGCGCTTGATTCCTTTCCACTCATCTACACACACCACTCTGACAGAATCACGCATCACACCTGACCCACACACACGAAACTAAATAGGGAAACAATTAAGACACAAATAAGGGACAGGTGTTATGAACAGACAAAACCAAATGAACATGAAACATAGAACGGTGGCAGCTAGTACTCCGGAGACGCTGACCGCCGAAGCCTGCCCGAACAAGGAAGAGGAGCAGCCTCGGCCGAAACCGTGACAGTACCCCCCCCTTGACGCGCGGCTCCAGCCGTGCGCCGACCCGGAGCTCGGGGACGACCCGGACGACGCGGAGCAGGGCGCGCAGGATGACCCCGATGGAAATCGGTCAGTAGGGACTGGTCCAATACGTCCCTCCTTGGCACCCAGCACCGCTCCTCCGGACCGTACCCCTCCCACTCCACGAGATATTGAAGACCCCCCATCCGGCGTCTAGAATCCAGGATGGACTGTCACGGTTTCGGCCGAGGCTGCTCCTCTTCCTTGTTCGGGCAGGCTTCGGCGGTCGTCGTCTCCGGAGTACTAGCTGCCACCGTTCTATGTTTCATGTTCATTTGGTTTTGTCTGTTCATAACACCTGTCCCTTATTTGTGTCTTAATTGTTTCCCTATTTAGTTTCGTGTGTGTGGGTCAGGTGTTATGCGTGATTGTTTTTGTCAGACTGCCTCTGTAAGGATACCTTTCTCTCGTTGTTGGCTTGTCCCGAGAGTTCGCACTGCGTGCGCTTTTCTTGTGTATTTCGCACCGTGTTTTGTGCGTAATTGTTTTGCGCCACCCGGTTGGGTTGGCGACTATTTTTGGGTTCACGTGTTGAACGTATATATAAAAGACGGTTGAAGTCATCCTGGTTCCTGCGCTTGATTCCTTTCCACTCATCTACACACACCACTCTGACAGGCAGCACTCACCTCAACTTAGCTAACATTTTCCCAGCCTAATTGTAGCCTAACCAATATCCAAACGGAGATTCACGGAAAACAAAAATCAGACATTTATTGAATACCTTTCAGATATAAAGAAAAAGCGGAAAAACGTCTAGGTATGAAAGGGATATTACTGTAGCCCACAGGAGGAACGGCTCATAATAATGTCCGGAACGGAGCAAATGGAATGGCATCAAACACCTGGAAACCATGTGTTTGATTTATTTGCTACCATTCCACTGATTCCACTCCAGTCATTACCACAAGCCCGTTCTCCCCAATTAAGGTGCCACCAACCTCCTGTGCTGTAGCCATTCTTCTTTGTCTTTTCTCTGCAGTGTATGGTATAGTGAGGAACTTCACAGCAACTCTTTCTCCTCTCTTCTGCAGTGTATGATATAGTGAGGAACTTCACAGCGGATTACGACAAGGCCCTGATATTCAACAAGGTTCACCATGAGCTCAACCAGTTCTGCAGCGTCCACTCTCTACAGGAGGTCTACATCGGCTTGTTCGGTAACTAATCAATCAACAGAATATTAAAATGGTTTTAAAGGCCTAGTGTTGTCTCTGGCTGTGTCCCAAATGGCACCCAATTCCCTACATAGTGCACTACTACTACAAAAGTAGTGCACTATACTGTATAGAGAATAGGGTGGTATGTGGGATGCAGCCTCTGTCTCCATGGTATATCCTGATGTGTGTGTGTGTGTGTGTGTGTTGGTTTCCCTCCTCAGACCAGATAGATGAAAACCTGAAGCTGACCCTACAGGAGGACCTGACCTGCATGGCTCCTGGACTCATCATACAGGTACAGGGACTGAGAGGAAGAGACAACGAACCAATCTTAGGGAATCCTTGCATACCAGTATAAATATGTTTATTGAAGGTGAATAAATCAATGTTTATTGAAATGTATTTATATGCAAGGAATCCCTTTGATTGATTTTATTTACTTGATACTCCACTTACCCTTGTGTTACTGGGAGAGGGAGCGATGGGAGGATGGAATTGTAGAGAATCCTTGCATATAAATATGTTATTGATGGTGAATACTCATTTAACAATATCATGAGCAGTTGGAACATTGAAACTGCCCATGTTATGCGAGTACTCACCTTCCATAACTGTTTTTATATACTAGGATTGATTTTTGATTTGGTTGATACTCTACTTATCCTTGTGTGACCCAGGTAGAGCCACACACACACAGGGTTGAATGACAGACAGCAAACCGGGTTAAGTTTAAAGTATTGTCTAAGGTTAAAGTAGAAGACTGTACTTCAATTTTATGAGGCTCCATATTGTGATAATGAATGCCAGGTGATGAGTGGGCTGCTAAGGGATCCTGGATGGACTTAAGTTACTATCTAAAACTTAATGAAAGACTATAAACAGAACAGATCCCATGTTGTAATATCTGGACTGGAAAACAATGGGAACATTGTCAGACTCAAAAAGGAGAGAGAGATTCTGGCAGACTCAAAAAGGAGAGAGCAAGGGAGAGAAATAGTCATTTCCTCCTCGACCCCACCTCTGCTCATTTCTTTATAGTTTTAAGGCCCTCTGGGTTTAAACACTTAGCTTTTTCTTCCCATAAATCCTCTAGAAGAAATGACAGTAACAGCTGTAGGTTCTGCCAGGAACTAATAATACTACAGTACAGTTCACTTCAGAGTTTCGTGAGGAGTAAGATTGCGTTTGTTCTTTTGTGCTCCCAAGTTTAACTAGGTATGTGTCCCAAAAGACACCCTATTCCCATGACCTATTCCCATGACCCTATGGGGCCAGTCAAAGGTAGTGCACTACAAAGGGCACTCAGCCTAGATGATTCCCTGGTGATGAGAATGCCTCTTATTGCCATGAAATGACTTGCAGTTCCACAGTAAAACCAATGTTCAATATGATCTCAATCATCTCTCCGTCGCCCCTCTATTTCATGGTTGTGGTTTGGCAATCTTAACCACAGGCGGTCCGAGTCACGAAGCCCAACATCCCTGAGAGCATTCGCAGGAACTACGAGATGATGTGAGTAGAACAGTTGGCTGTATTTTTACATTTTAGTCATTTAGCAGACGCTCTTATCCAGAGCGACTTACAGTTAGTGAGTGCATACATTCTTTTTTTATTTTTCATACTGGCCCCCTGTGGGAATCAAACCCACAACCCTGGCGTTGCAAACGTCATGCTCTACCAACTGAGCTACCTGCCGGCCATTCCCTCCCCTACCCTGGACGACGCTGGGCCAATGAAACATTCTAGAACACTGCAACACTCCATATTCCCCAAACCCCCAACCCCCTTCCGTCATGTATTTATATTCTCCTCAGACATAGGCTGTGTCCCGAATGGCACCCTATTCCCTCTATAGTGCATGATCTTTGACAAGTGCACTACATAGGGAATAGTGTGCCATTTGGGATGCAGCCCGCTCTCCACTTCCATCTGGAAGACTTTAGTAATGGACTGATGATGGTATTTATTTTCATGTTTACATGCTATTTCCTGGCTGTTGTTGTTTTAGGATGTTCTGGTGAGTGATGGGACACATGCTGCATGCTGTGGGACTGGAGAAAGATATTAACCAGCTTTTAGCACGCACCTTTAATCTCTGTGTGTGTGTGTGTGTGTGTGTGTGTGTGTGTGTGTGTGTGTGTGTGTGTGTGTGTGTGTGTGTGTGTGTGTGTGTGTGTGTGTGTGTGTTTGTTTAGGGAGGCTGAGAAGACAAAGCTTCTGATTTCTGCTCAGACTCAGAAGGTGGTGGAGAAGGAGGCAGAGACAGAGCGGAAGAGGGCTGTGATTGGTCAGTCATGAGACACTAACACTATGACCTTTACATTTTCACAGAAAAAAATATTAAACTGACATTTTCTAATAATACACTGACATTTATAAACAAATGACTGTAAGTCTGTTTTGTTGTACTAATTTTTAAGAGGGATTCTGCCGTTTTCTCATTAAATCCCAGAATGTAAGGCTAATTTCCTCTCCTCCCTGTGCTGCTCTACAGAGGCAGAGAAGCTGGCTCAAGTGGCTGAAATCAAGTTTAGCCAGAAAGTCATGGAGAAAGAAACAGAGAAAAGGATCTCTGAAATTGAAGGTGTGTATGTTTGGCAAAACAATAAGATTGTATATTTAAGCAATAAAGCCAGAGGGGGTGTGGTATATGGCCAATATACCACGGCTAAGAGCTGTTCTTAAGCACGATGCAACACAGAGTCCCTGGATACAGAACCGTGGTATATTGGCAATATACCACAAACCCCTGAGGTGCCTTATTGATATTATAAACTGGTTACCAACGTAATTAGTGCAGTTAAAATAAATGTTTTGTCATACCTGTGGTATACGGTCTGATATACCACGGCTTTCAGCCAATCAGCATTCAGGGCTCCAACCACCCAGTTTTTAATTGTCCTTAGGCCACTGCTCAGTGAAATGGTGTGCTTGCATAATGGGGCTTTTAAGATGCTCTAAATGTTTGTCCTTTTCCTTGTGGGTCATGATAGTAGAAAGAGGAGTCTCCTGAGGACTGACTGAGTATGGGAGGTCAAAGCTTAAGTGCAATACATTTAGACATATCCCGTCACTGCTCCCTCGTGTCTTCATTCTGCAGCATCTGTAGCCACGATGTCGTTGTACTGTAGCCAATTCCCTTATCATAACCTTTCTTTTTGTTTCTCCGGTTAGGCCTACGTTAGCCATTTTCGCGTGAGCTTGGCTATCAATGTAAAGTAAACTTTGCAACGTGTTGTATTCTCACATGGGGAGAGGGAACATAAGCTCTGGCGTGGACAAATTGGAACATTTTAAGACCACACAAGTAATGGAAAGTTCCCGGCTCCACACACTGTCAATGCGTGGCTGGTAGCCTTATGTCTGCCTCGCCGCTCACAGAATGGAATTCGCAACACAAAAAACTCCTGGGTTTTTAAAAGTATCTTGATTTAAAATGTTTCCGACCCGCAAGCCCACCCACGGGTTGAAATAATGTTTTCATTCCACCCACCAGCTGATCTTTTTTTTTTTGCATCTCAACCGCCGGGAACCGTGGTTATCCGACCCAATGCAGGACTATACTAATGATAGGGTAACTGCAGATGGGAAACCCCATGCTTCAGCCTATTTATTTATAGCCACTATGCTGCATCAGTTGGGCTACAGGTGATAATCCCTATTGCTAATAGCATACCTGATAATATGTTAATATTTTACCAGGAGGTGGAAATAATATTTTAGTTGGTGTCAACGCAATTTTATTTTCATTCATTTTGGAGTAGAATGTGCTTTCAAAAAGTCACCAGAACTTAGCTTCATAAAAATGATCCCCTTTCCAGAGGAAACACTGCTCCTCTCTGCCTCTGACCACTAACCCCTGGGTTGCAGATGGAGCGTTCCTGGCTAAGATGAAGGGCAGGGCCGATGCAGAGTTCTACACAGCACAGAGAGCGGCCGAGGCCAACAAGGTGAGAGGGACATACTGCGAGGAACCCTTCAAGGTTTGCAGATCTGAAGGTTCTGCATAATCAGGGAAGTGAAAGATCTCTCAGAACCCACTATGTTGCTTCCTCCATGCAGATCTACAAATGTCCAAGGGTTAGAGCCAAGGGGAGATGGTAGGGAGGGATTCAGACTGGCTGGAACAGTGAGAGAGAACACACTGCCCCTCAGGCTACAATCTAACAGCATCACAAGACAGCCAGGCATTCATCACTGACTTCTGCCCTCTCTCTCTCTCCTCCTCTCCCTCTCTCTCCCTCCTTCTCTCTTCCCCTCCCCTCTCGCGCTATCTCGCTCTCCTCACTTTCTCTCCCCCCCTCTCTCCACTCCCAGTTGAAGCTGACGCCAGAGTACCTGCAGCTTATGAAGTTCCAGGCCATAGCAGCTAACAATAAGATCTACTTTGGGAGTAAGATCCCCCAGATGTTTGTTGACTCTGGCCCCTCCTCCACTAAGGCCTCAGCTGCCATGGATGTCCTAACTGAACAGATCCTGGACCTAGACTGATGGAAGGATGGAAAGGAGGAGAGAAGAGACCCATCCCAGGGCTGGAGCTGTGGAGTTGGGCCCATGCCAGCCACACGGTGGGGTGGCAGAGGAGCCTTGGGTTTATGTGTCCTAAATGGCATATAGTGCACTACTATTTTTTAATAATAATAATAATAATTAGTCATTTAGCAGACGCTCTTATCCAGAGCGACTTACAGGAGCAATTAGGGTTAAGCGCCTTGCTCAAGGGCACATCGACAGATCTTTCACCTAGTCGGCTCGGGGATTAGAACGAGCGACCTTTCGGTTACTGGCACAACGCTCTTAACCACTAAGCTACCTGCTGCCCCAGTGACCAGTGAAAATCTCACTTTAAAAAGTTTATATTCTGTTAACGCATACCCAAATAATGTTTTTGACTTGTCTTATATTCGTATTTGTGGCCAAAAACACTTCAAAAACCCCACCTCAAACAGTCCATTTAAAAACATGCTTACTATTTCCTCATAGAACATAATGTCATGTTGGCTCATTGGCTGAGCTGGCCAATGAGCGGTCTACTAGCATGAATATTTTTCAGGACCGGTATACTGCCACACCATTCTGTTGTTGGGGTACGCCCACACCATTCAAACACAGGAAAGCTGCTTTTTAACATACTTAATTGCCATTTTTTGGAAGGAAAACAATTTCACTCATATTGTTATTAATTATAGGTCATATTTCATAGAAATCTGGAAACACTGGTACACAAATACTTTAAAGGGGCAATCAGCAGTTGCTACATCCATTTTTGGACTTGCACATTAATGATTTGTACCCATGGATTATTGAAGAATATAATTTATGAGCTTAGTTCAGCTGTCGTACCCCATCAGAACCTAAAATATACGTTTGTTTTACTCCAGTGTTTGTAAACAAACACTATATAGCCTCAAAACATGATTAAAACTATAATGTTGATATCATGGATGGCAAGTCCTTGCATCCATAGCTCTGTTTATGAATTTTAGGGTGGTTACATTCTTCCAGCCCCATCCCTCAGCTTTTTACCAAAATGGGTCGGGAGGACATTACGTTTTTTCTACTGGTGATTGCCGCTTTAAAGCGCAACTGAAGGCAAACAACTTGTCTGATAGAAAATGGCATATGTGGCATCGATATTAGTCAAACATTTATTCTAGTGTCAAAATTGACTACAAAGTGTGAATATGATAATTTTGTTCATAAAGTCAGTCTTGTCCAAAACTGAGTTTTGTAAGTTAGTTCGTCATGTCTTACTTGAGGGTTGGGTTTTGTTTTTGACAATGCTTACTTGCCCACTAACACAGGGTTAGACAGCTGCGGTGATTGCCTATATCCAATCCTACCGTAGAACACACAGACAGTGAGACATACCTGCCCATCAGCAGGTAACCCGGTACCAGTTAAAAAAATTAATGGACGTATGGAGGTAGTTTTGTGCCTACAAAAAAGGGGTTAAATATGTGTCCAAAAAAACAAAATATTTCCTGAGCTTTCTTATATCTCCTAGATATAGGACAGACACTTCAAAACCTTATTCCTTATGATTTCCTGTCTGTTTTTCCATTTATGAATGTGTTGTTCAATGCATTTCTAAAGCCCAATTTTTGTTTTTTATTAAATGATTTTTGTATACAGTACCAGTTAAAAGTTTGGACACACCTGCTCATTCAAGGGTTTTTCTTTATTTTTACTATTTTCTACATTGTAGAAAGGCATCAAAACTATGACATAACACATATGGAATCATGTAGTAACCAAAAAAAAGTGTTAAACAAATCAATATATATATATTTTTTTTTATACCTACAGGGGCCTAAAATTCTTTTAAAAATTCCATGTCAGCTTAGTAGAACCCCTACCCATACGAATTGGCTTACTGTCTTACCTTATCTCACCAGCGTCTTTTATCACAATAGCAGATGTAACATATCTTGACTAGCCCACTGAATGAGCATGACTTTACCTCAGTTTCAGAGAGTGAGCATTGATGTTCAATAGTTTTTTGACTCAAGAAAAGTCAAGGTTGAAGCTGATTTTTCCAGATCCTATGCTCTGTTTTTCTCTCAACAATCTATAATTATGCTGGACAAAAGGCCATTATATTGTCCCCTGTAGCTCAGTTGGTAGAGCATGGCGCTTGCAACGCCAGGGTTGTGGGTTCGTTTCCCACGGGGGGCCAGTATGAAAATGTATGCACTCACTAACTGTAAGTCGCTCTGGATAAGAGCGTCTGCTAAATGACAAAAAAAAAGAAAAGAAAAAAGACAATTGAGATGTTGCGAAACCAGCTTCTCCTTGAGTGGGAACAATGTCTCTGTCAGTAGTCAGAGTGTGAGGGAGACAGATACATTAGAAAAGGGTTTGTGACTCACTATAAAAGTAGAAATTATCTTCCGCATCAAATCGTCCTGGAAACTTTAGGGAATTTTGGATTTGTGACATTATCTAATTGTACATTAAACAAAAAGTTCTACATAAAATACAAGCCTCACACTCATTGATGAGCCATCTTAAACCTTTGATATTGCCTATCCCCATGATTTGGTGAAGGGGTGATGCCAACCAACCACTCCCAGTTCAGTATTCCAGGAAAAAATAAATAAGTAGCACCTTTTGTCGTTATCTGCCAGACATTTCAAACAAGCTCTACATTAAAACAAATGTTTGTTTTCTGCCAGTGGATATTAAGAGCATTACAGGTGCTCGCTTACAGTATTCTATTCGATCATCTTTTCACCTGCGTTAGATCATGTCCATAGATTGTTTATCTGCCACATTAGATCAACAGCTAACTATATAAGAGAAAGCATGTCGTGTACACGGAACAATAACCCACAATGCCCACAAGAACACATACAGAATAAATATGGCTCCCAATCAGAGATAACGAGCCGACAGCTGACACTCGTTACCTCCGATTGGGAGTCATATGACTAATCAACATAAAACCCAAACATAGAAATGAACCAACTAGATCCCACATAGAAATACACCCAAAAGAAAATGACAACCCTGGCTCACAAGAGTCCCGGAGCCAGAACGTCACAGTACCCCCCCCCTAAAGGCGCGGACTGCGACCGCGCCTCACAACCCCACAATAGGGGAGGGCTGGGTGGGTGTTGCTCCCCGGAGGCGGTTCCGGCTCCGGGCTTGACCACCACCCCACTATAGTTACTACCCGCTTTCTTAACCTCCTCCCAATGACCACCCTCCACTTAAACCCACCTGGATTAATGGGCAGCACCGGACTAAGAGGCAGCACCAGGCTAAGGGACAGCACCGGACTAAGGGGCAGCACTGGACTAAGGGGCAGCACTGGACTAAGGGGCAGCACCTGACTAAATGGCGGATCCTGGCTGGCTGGCTCTGGCGGATCCTGGCTGGACGGCTCTGGCGGATCCTGGCTGGACGGCTCTGGCGGATCCTGGCTGGACGGCTCATGGCTGGCTGACGGATCTGGCTGCTCATGGCTGGCTGACGGATCTGGCTGCTCATGGCTGGCTGATGGATCTGGCCACTCATGGCTGGCGGAAGGCTCTGGCTGATCCCGTCTGGCGGAAGGCTCTGGCTGCTCCTGTCTGGCGGAAGGCTCTGGCTGATCCGATCTGACGGAAGGCTCTGGCTGCTCCTGTCTGGCGGAAGGCTCTGGCTGATCCTGTCTGGCGGAAGGCTCTGGCTGATCCTGTCTGGCGGAAGGCTCTGGCTGATCCTGTCTGGCGGAAGGCTCTGGCTGATCCTGTCTGGCGGAAGGCTCTGGCTGATCCTGTCTGGCGGAGAGCTCTAGCGGCTCCGGTCTGGCGGACGGCTCTGAAGGCTCATGGCAGACGGGCGGCTTTGTAGGCTCAGTACAGACGGGCAGTTCAGACGGCGTTGGGCAGACGGGCAGTTCAGACGGCGTTGGGCAGACGGGCAGTTCAGACGGCGTTGGGCAGACGGGCAGTTCAGGCGCCGTTGGGCAGACGGGCAGTTCAGACGGCGTTGGGCAGACGGGCAGTTCAGACGGCGTTGGGCAGACGGGCAGTTCAGGCGCCGTTGGGCAGACGGGCAGTTCAGACGGCGTTGGGCAGACGGACAGTTCAGGCCCCGTTGGGCAGACGGCAGACTCTGGCCGTCTGAGGCGCACCGTAGGCCTGGTGCGTGGTGCCGGAACTGGAGGGTACCGGGCTGAGGACACGCATCTCAGGGCTAGTGCGGGGAGAAGCAACAGGGCATGCTTGGCCCTGGGGACGCACCGTAGGCCTGATGCGTGGTGCCGGAACTGGAGGTACCGGGCTGAGGACACGCATCTCAGGGCTAGTGCGGGAAGCAGCAACAGGGCATGCTTGGCCCTGGGGACGCACATAAGGCCTAGTGCGGAGAGCAGCAACAGGGCATGCTGGACCCTGGGGACGCACATAAGGCCTAGTGCGGAGAGCAGGAACAGGCCGGGCTGGGCTAGCGACGCGCACCGTATCCCTGGTGCGAGAGGCCGGAACAGGCCGGGCCGGGCTGGCGAAGCGCACCGTATCCCTGGTGCGTGGAGTAGGAACAGGCCGGGCTGGGCTGGCGACGCGCACCGTATCCCTGGTGCGAGTGGCCGGAACAGGCCGGGCCGGGCTGGCGAAGCGCACCGTATCCCTGGTGCGTGGAGTAGGAACAGGCCGGGCTGAGCTGGCGACGCGCACCGTATCCCTGGTGCGAGTGGCCGGAACAGGCCGGGCCGGGCTGGCGAAGCGCACCCTATCCCTGGTGCGTGGAGCAGGAACAGGCCGGGCTGGGCTGGCGACGCGCACCGCATCCCTGGTGCGAGTGGCCGGAACAGGCCGGGTCGGGCTGGCGTAGCACACCGTGGACCTGGTGCTTGGAGTAGGAACAGGCCGGTCCGTACCGGGAACACACACCACTGGCTTCAACCGAGGATCAGGAACGGGCCGGACCGGACTGGCAACACACATCAGTCCTTCACGCCGTGCCACAAACACTTCCCTCCCTCTACTCGCCAATGGCTCCCGTACTCCGTTAGCCTTCTCTCCTTTTCTCCCTGTGGCAGCCTCCTGCTGCCCAGCCGCCCAAGCCATGTGCCCCCCCCAAAAAACTTTTTGGGGTTGCCTCCCGTCCTTCCGACGATGGCCCTGCCGATGCCGTTGCTCCTCTCCTGTCAGGTTCTCCCCCTTCATCGCCCTCCGGTACCGGACGGCCTCCTCCTGGGTAATATGTCCCCAGCCGAGGAGGACATCCACCAACGTTCTCTCCTGACCCGGCGCCTCCTCCCATGTCCAGACCCTTTGCTCCTGGACGCGCTGCTTGGTCCTTTTGTGGTGGGTTATTCTGTCACGATCGTCTAGGATGATTAGACCAAACGCATTGACAGTTAATAGTGCTAAAACAAAAAAAAGCACTCTGAGTACAGTACCACTATTCCCACATGCCACAGAACACAATGATTGGCCATCAGATAACGACGCGCTCACTTTACTCGATTGAGTCATTTATCAACATACACGATGACATAGATCCCAGAGATATTCCCATTTGTAGGTCACATGACGCATGTTTATTGAAGATTGGACCAAACCTCTGGTTATTTTCCAAAGAAAATCTCTCCTTGTCATCTTACATGGAAAGGAATGGTGGAAAGAAAACAAACAATTGGGTGTTTTTGCTTGTGTTATCAAAGCGATTTCTTCACAGAAAAGCAAACAAAAGCGAATTACTTTTATGTTAGTCATTCTTATTGGAAGGATGAGTCAATGGTATAAAATATTAAATGTTATAAAAATTTAATGGGGTTTTCATGAAAGATACTGCAGCAGCTTTTTTAAAAACTATTTCACTCACTGGTGCCCTCAGTGTCGTGTTAGAGACTGAGTTCATTTGGGGTTAACCATTTGTATGTTTTTCACAAGTGACAAGCTTTGACTAAACTTGTTAATGCTTTGAGAGGCACTTGTGTTGTGTATCCATTAAACTGTTCTCTCAATGTAACACTGGTTTGTTCTGGCTGAGTTAGCTCTACGTTAGCCATTTGAGTGACTACCTGTATGAACTGTTTATGTTAGACTCTCAGGTTGACTTGACTGATTATGACTTGAATGGGACTTTTTTTGCACTTTCACTGATGTTAAATTGTGAATCAGAAATCCATAATTTTGTAATTTACACAATAAAAGGTGTTTTTCTTTGACAACAAGGTACTTTTTGTCTTGAAATGTAGTCTGATGTGTTTGTGGGTGTTTTTATCGCCTTTGTCTTATATTGCCCTTTCACATCTGTCAAATAAGAAAGACTTGTGTTGAATCTTGATTTAGCAATTTAGTAGGGGTAGGCGGTTACATACCACAGCCAATTCACACTTGTGGCATGCACTGTTGAATTCTTATGAGAGACATTATTGACTAATTTTGTTGTGTGACATTTAAGATGTATAGTATTTCATAATGTAGCACTAAGATGACTTGATAACCTGGTGTACACTGTCAAGTACTGACAGTTCAATCACCTGTTATCTCCTGTGAGAAACCCCCTAGATTCCCAATCAGGTATTCCTGGTGTGCAATCAGAAGTCTGCGACTGCGTAGGCAGGACCAAGGTGCCAATATCCCTGCTTCAGATACAGGCTTGTAGAGGGAATTTCAAGCATGAGTCATATCTAGGATTGCAAATGGGGGGTATATTACTGGTAACTTTCAAAGCTATCAGTGAACTACCAGAACTTTAAAGTTTTATTTTTAATTCAATCACATGAAATCTAGTGGCCTTATTGGGTACTTCAGATGATCACATGTGTCTGTAATTATCTCTGGCCCTCTGTGTGGCCTTATAAAATGTAAAAAATAAAACATAAAATAAGATTATTTTAAAATAAACAATATAATGACAAAGCTAATATCTTTGTCTGAAGTCAGGTCCAGGACATGCATTGCTTTACTCATATAACATTATCACAGGCTATTAGTTTGAATGAAACATATTGGGAACACATTGACTAGACTCTGACCCTCCCTATTCTTCAGAAAGGGGCCCCAGTCCAGACCTTTATGGGAAACCATCTGGCTCCAACATGGTCTCATAGACTAGATGTAACATAATAAATGAAAATACAGGACAACACTGAAATTAGTATTTGTTAGGTTTGGTAGGGTTACATAAGACAGAAGGTTACTTAAGGCAAAAACTAAAGGAGGGTGGTTGGTCAGGGGGGATGAGTGGGAGTGTAACGTGAACATCTAGCAACCCAACGGTTGCGTGTTCAAATCTCATCACGGACAACTTTAGCATTTTTGCTAATTAGCAACTATGTGCTAATTTTGAGCTACTTTGCAACTACTTAGCATATTAGCTAACCTTAACCCCTAGCCTAGCTAATGTTAGTCACAACAAATTGGAATTCGTAACATATCATACGAATTGGAATTCGTAACTATAATCATACTTTCTAAAACTAGCCGCCGAACACTCCTTCAGTAGCCTCCAACTGCTCTTAAACACTAGTAAAACTAAATGCATGCTCTTCAATCGAACACTGCTGGCACCCGCCCACCCGACTAGAATCACTACTCTCGACGGGTCTGACCTAGAGTATGTGGACAACTACAAATACCTAGGTGTCTGGTTAGACTGTAAACTCTCCTTCCAGACTCACATTAAGAATCTCCAATCCAAAGTTAAATCTAGAATCGGCTTCCTATTTCGCAACAAAGCCTCCTTCACTCATGCTGCCAAACATGCCCTCGTAAAACTGACTATCCTACCGATCCTTGACTTCGGCGATGTCATTTACAAAATAGCCTCCAACACTCTACTCAGCAAATTGGATCACAGTGCCATCCGTTTTGTCTCCAAAGCCCCATACACTACCCACCACTGTGACCTGTACGCTCTTGTTGGCTGGTCCTCACTACATGTTCGTCGTCAAACCCACTGGCTCCAGGCCATCTATAAATCACTGCTAGGCAAATCCCCGCCTTATCTTAGCTCATTGGTCACCATAGCAGCACCCAACCGTAGTCTGCGCTCCAGCAGGTATATTTCACTGGTCATCCCCAAAGCCAACACCTCCTTTGGCCGCCATTCCTTCCAGTTCTCTGCTGCCAATGACTGGAACGAATTGCAAAAATCTCTGAAGCTGGAGACTCTTATCTCCCTCACTAACTTTAAGCATCAGTTGTCAGAGCACCTTACCGATCACTGCACCTGTACACAGCCCATCTGAAATTAGCCCACCCAACTACCTCATCCCTATATTGTTATTTATTTTGCTCGTTTGCACCCCAGTATCTCTATTTGCACATAATCTCTTGCACATCTAGCATTCCAGTGTTAATACTAATTGTAATTATTTTGCACTATGGCCTATTTATTGCCTTACCTCCATAACTTGCTACATTTGCACACACTGTATATATATTTTCTGTTGTATTTTTTGACTTTATGTTTTCTTACCCCATATGTAACTCTGTGTTGTTGTTTTTATCGCACTGCTTTGCTTTATCTTGGCCAGGTCGCAGTTGTAAATGAGAACTTGTTCTCAACAGGCTTACCTGGTCAAATAAAGGTGAAATAAAAAAAATAAAAAAATACTAAATGGAGGGAGGCAGATTTACCTTTACTATGTTACCTACCCCTAACTATCATACAAAATGGATGATGGACATCCACAAATTAATACATGCCATATGAAATGTAACATATACTGTATCATACTAAATGGAGGTAGACAGATTTACATTTACTATGTTAACTATAGTCTATGAGACCAGGCTGAGTATTTACTATGTTATGTATTGTCTATGAGACCAGGCTGTGTTGCTGACTTACATAACTTGGAATGTGACCCAATTTAACTTTTACTGCTTCCATGGATCTACCGCCCTCCCACCAAACGACAGACAAGCGTGTTCTGTTAACCATGTGGAAAGAGAAAATAAGTATTTAAGCGTGATAAGCCAGGTCCTCGAGCATAAACTAAATGCGTACCTTCAGTTGGAGAGAGTGAATTGAAGAAAATAGATAATGGACTACGTTATTACAATGTAATAGCCAACACACTTGGATAGATGCTGAGAACACTTCGTGATGGGCATTTTTAGTTTGATTAAAAAAGAACCCTTCGGATGCTGGTATTATGAATAATAGTACTTTTCAAAAACATGTGGACCCAGATGGACTGCTGCTCCAGGTGCTGTGGGATGATCTGCGAGCACAGCGGGATTTCGTCACGTCACCTTACCTGCCCGCATGCTTCGCTTTCCTCATCCACCTTCTCCTCTGCGCACCTTTTCTAGCCATTGAAGCGCTGGGATGTTTCTGGCCACGGATAAATCTCTACAGGATCTCGAGGACCGCTGAACCGTTGCTGTTGTGTTTGCAGCGATGGGTTGACTGCTGTTGGAGAATTTTTCTGAAATACCTGACCACTGTTCTCCCTGCCACAGCGCTTTACCAAAGCGTTAGGAATCCAATATTTCCCGAACTCGCGCCATCATGCAGCCTGTTCATTGGGGAGGTTATCGCGTGCCTACTTTTATTTGATGCGCTGTTCTTTATATGGCATTATTCCATGCATAGGTAAGCTTGAACCAGAATCTGGGTTTACATCACAGGAGGTTGGTGGCACATTAATTGGGGAGGACGGGCTCGTGGTAATGGCTGGAGTGGAATACATTGAATGGTATCAAATATATCAAACACATGGTTTCCATGTGTTTGATGCCATTCATTTACTCGGTTCCAGCCATTATTATGAGCCGTCCTCCCCTCAGCAGCCTCCACTGCTCAGGAGACATTGAATACAAAGATGATCCTTTAAGCCAGAAAGCATCCATTCAACTTGCCATTCAACAGCTTTTCAAGCTGAATAATGTCAAAATACGTTAGGTAATTACAAAATAATGGAGTTTCACTGAGCAACTATCTTCATTACTGCTGTTACCTCCGGTAGGCCTATGTACTTCCAAAAAAGGTTTAAATAAAAAGTCACATATGCAACCAATAAAATGCCTTGTCTGGAAATAATCTAAGTATTGTTTTTGACCAAGTGCGCATGAGCCAAACCTCTTCTGCACCTGTAATATTAGTAATAGAATTAAAATACACTAAATGTACTGAACAGTCATTCTGATTCCCATGTAAAATAGCCTTTTGAGTGTCTAAAACATCACCCATAATATGTGTTTTGGATAGAAATGCTATATATATATAAAAACAATTTTTAAGTGCTTTTTCTCTCATGGCTAACTACCAGTAAGTTTGAAAAGACAGGCTGAGTGGTCGTGAAGCTTATATTCATGGCCTCGCCTTGGCTGACAGCTCTTTGAAACGCCTATGTCAAGTAATTTGGATGCAGTGAGCAGTGTTACATTAAAATCATCTCAAGCACATTTAGTAATACACAAAGCAACTCAAACAACATTAAAATTGCATTAATAACCATGTTTCCATCCACAGTTTTTATGCAAGTAAAGTCATACCGTATAAAAAATATATAATGACAGCTGTGATGGAAACAGGTCGTTTCGGTACAATTTTATAAATGCCGACAGATCATTTGTTTGTTCGACATAGTGGGATCTTTTTGTGTCGGTACAATTAATAATGAGAGAAATGGTGATGGCAACACCTTTATGCACAAATATTGATATAATAACCATCATATCGAAGTAAACTTGGAGTCACGTGATTATATACAGTTGAAGTCGGAAGTTTACATACACTTTTTCAACCACTCCACAAATTCCTTGTTAACAAACTAGTTTTGGCAAGTCGGTTAGGACATCTACTTTGTGCATGACACAATAATTTTTCCAACAATTGTTTACAGACAGATTATTTCACTCATAATTCACTGTATCACAATTCCAGTGGGACAGAAGTTTACATACACTAAGTTGACTGTGCCTTTAAACAGCTTGGAAAATTCCAGAAAATGATGTCATGGCTTTAGAAGCTTCTGATAGGCTAATTTACATCATTTGAGTCAATTGGAGGTGTACCTGTGGATGTATTTCAAGGCCTACCTTCAAACTCAGTGCCTCTTTGCTTGACATCATGGGAAAATCAAAAGAAAGATCTTAGAAAAAAATGGTAGACCTCCACAAGTCTGGTTCATCCTTGGGAGCAATTTCCAAATGCCTGAAGGTACCACGTTCATCTGTACAAACAATAGTACGCAAGTATAAACACCATAGGACCACGCAGCCGTCATACCGCTCAGGAAGGAGACGCGTTCTGTCTCCTCGAGGTGAATGTACTTTGGTGCGAAAAGTGCAAATCAATCCCAGAACAACAGCAAAGGACCTTGTGAAGATGCTGGAGGAAACAGGTACAAAAGTATCTACAGTTGAAGTCGGAAGTTTACATACACCTTAGCCAAATACATTTAAACTCAGTTTTTCACAATTCATGACATTTAATCCTAGTAAAAATTCCCTGTCTTAGGTCAGTTAGGATCACCACTTTATTTTAAGAATGTGAAATGTCAGAATAATAGTAGAGAGAATTATTTCTTTCAGCTTTTATTTCTTTCATCACATTCTCAGTGGCTCAGAAGTTTACATACACTCAATTAGTATTTGGTAGCATTGCCTTTAAATTGTTTAACTTGGGTCAAACGTTTCGGGTAGCCTTCCACAAGCTTCCCACAATAAGTTGGGTGAATTTTGGCCCATTCCTCCTGACAGAGCTGGTGTAACTGAGTCAGGTTTGTAGGCCTCCTTGCTCACACACGCTTTTTCAGATCTGCCCACAGATTTTCTATAGGATTGCGGTCAGGGCTTTATGATGGCCACTCCAATACCTTGACTTTGTTGTCCTTAAGCCATTTTGCCACAACTTTGGAAGTATGCTTGGGGTCATTGTCCATTTGGAAGACCCATTTGCGACCAAGCTTTAACTTCCTGACTGATGTCTTGAGCTGTTGCTTCAATATATCCACATAATTTTCCTTCCTCATGAAGCCATCTATTTTGTGAAGTGCACCAGACCCTCCTGCAGCAAAGCACCCCCACAGCATGATGCTGCCACCCCCGTGCTTCACGGTTGGGATGGTGTTCTTTGGCTTGCAAGAACCCCCTTTTTCCTCCAAACATAACAATGGTCATTATGGCCAAACAGTGCTATTTTTGTTTCATCAGACCAGGGGACATTTCTCCAAAAAAGTACGATATTTGTCCCCATGTGCAGTTGCAAACCGTAGTCTGGCTTTTTTATGGCGGTTTTGGAGCAGTGGCTTCTTCCTTGCTGAGCGGCCTTTCAGGGTATGTCGATATAGGACTCATTTAACTGTGGATATAGATACTTTTGTACCTGTTTCCTCCAGCATCTTCACAAGGTCCTTTGCTGTTGTTCTGGGATTGATTTGCACTTTTCGCACCAAAGTACGTTCATCTCTAGGAGACAGAACACATCTCCTTCCTGAGCGGTATGATGGCTGCTTGGTCCCATGGTGTTGTTTGTACAGATGAATGTGGTGCCTTCAGGCGTTTGGAAATTGCTCCCAAGGATGAACCAGACTTGTGGAGGTCTACAACATTTTTTCTGAGGTCTTGGCTGATTTCTTTTGATTTTCCCATGATGTCAAGCAAAGATGCACTGAGTTTGAAAGTAGGCCTTGAAATACATCCACAGGTACACCTCCAATTGACTCAAATGATGTCAATTAGCCTACCAGAAGCTTCTAAAGCCATGACATAATTTTCTGGAATTTTCCAAGCTGTTTAAAGGCACAGTCAACTTAGTGTATGTAAACTTCTGACCCACTGGAATTGTGATACAGTGAATTATAAGTGAAATAATCTGTCTGTAAACAATTGTTGGAAAAATTACTTGTGTCATGCACAAAGTAGATGTCCTAACCGACTTGCCAAAACTATAGTTTGTTAACAAGAAATTTGTGGAGTGGCTGAAAAACAAAGTTTAATAATTCCAACCTAAGTGTATGTAAAGTTCCGACTTCAACTCTATATCCACAGTAAAACAAGTCCTATATCTACATAACCTGAAAGGCCGCTCAGCAAGGAAGAAGCCACTGCTCCAAAACCGCCATAAAAAAAGCCAGACTACGGTTTGCAACTGCACATGGGGACAAAGATGGTACTTTTTGGAGAAATGTCCTCTGGTCTGATGAAACAAAAATAGAACTGTTTGGCCATAATGACCATTGTTATGTTTGGAGGAAAAAGGGGGTGCTTGCAAGTCAAAGAACACCATCCCAACCGTGAAGCACGTGGGTGGCAGCATCATGCTGTGGGGGTGCTTTGCTGCAGGGGGGACTGGTGCACTTCACAAAATAGATGGCATCATGAGGAAGGAAAATTATGTGGATGAAATGAATAAAAGCTTAAATAAATAATTCTCTACTATTATTCTGACATTTCACATTCTTAAAATAAAGTGGTGATCCTAACTGACCTAAGACAGGGAATTTTTACTAGGATTAAATGTCAGGAATTGTGAAAAACAGAGTTTAAATGTATTTGGCTAAGGTGTATGTAAACTTCCGACATCAACTGTAGTGTGTGGTCCTCCCACTATGACTCGGGATTTCATGCAGTTTATTAGGCTACAGATGAAATAAGTTATGATGAACTTCACAAGGTGGTGAAAGTGCACAGTTGTCTTGATGCTCCTTTCCAATAAATATCCAGGGTCCTATTCTGTTGACATGATGATCGATGCTTGACTGCCGTTTGACAAATAAAAATATTATCTTATCCATAATAATCTCGTCATGTAGACTAGCCTACCATCATAACCTACCCGCACTGTATCATTGAGCTTTTGGCTAGAGCGCCCGTGCCAAGACCAAATGTTGTGTGCACTACATCATCACACATTGATTTTTATCTGCAACAAGTCCTTTGGGTGGAAACATACCAAGTTTCGCAAAAACAAATGAAATCGCAAAAAAAGTGTCAGGACCCTTCTATAACATGCCATTTACCTGAAAAATACAGATTTTATTGTAATAAAGCGCAATTCTCTTTTAACTCGGATGACCCTCATGTAGAGAGTCTAGAAGGAGCACATAAGGTTGGTCCCTGGCTGCCTACCAAACACAAAAATGATGTCTGTCTGTATGGTCACCAGGGTTCCCTGGCTGTATCGGAGGGTCCACCAGACTCATCACCAGAACCGGATCACCTTCGCCCTGACTGCCCAGGACGCCAGCCCGGCTGAGCTACTCTCCCTGCAGATGCTGGCCCTGAGCAGTGCCTGGGTGGTGGGCTGCCACCCTCTGAGTGAGGCCCTGTTCCACCTGCTCAACACCTGGCTGGCCATAGAGGACCACTGTGGCTACGACCTGCCCTGGGCCCTCCATAGACTACTGCCCTGCTTCGGAGGGGCCCCCTTCCACCAGGCACACCACCATGTCTACAGGGGGAACTATGCCCCCTACTTCAGGCACTGGGACTGGCTCTGTGGGACCTACCTGAGGGTGAGGGAGGAGGCTGGGAGTAAACATGGAGGGAGGACAATGAGGAGAAGGAGAAGAAGGAAGAGCCTTGGATCTGACTGTGTGTGTGCACAGGCGTGAATGTGTTAAAATGGATGTCATCTATGAAGCAAACAAAGAACTGACATGTCAGGTAGCATCATTAGTACAGTCAGTACAGGCTAACACATGGGCTATGTGTGCGTGCGTGTGTTTGGAAATTACGGGTGGTTATAGGTTGATTCATATGGAATATTTGACGAGCATTAGATATAAAGAGACAATGCTGGTAATTTGTCTAAATTGGCATGTTTGGAATAAACTGTTAATATATTGTTATAATCACTCTACTCTCTTAAGCCAGGCTATATATTCTACTGTCACTACCAGGTTATCAACTTTATAATCATCAATATAGTTTATACTCCGCTCCATAATGTGAATAAATGAGTAGAAACAAGTTTTGTTTGTACCTTGCAGAGGTATACTATAACCTCTCTCAGAATCATTTATAAGTCACAAACTGTAAATTGAATCCAGACATTTCATCTTTATGTATTTTTAGTCTCTGTTTCGTGTCTGTAATCTACAACAACAGTTATGAAAATGGTATTGGAGAACTAGTATCAGCCTGCTCATGAGGGCCTCTCATTCAGCAATTTCACTTGGCATTTTGGCAGCTTGAATTCCAGCCATTGCCAACTCACACTTCATACAGGGAAAATATATTGAGGTTTTAAGTTAGTCAAGCTTCCTCAGTCGCTCTGGATAAGAGTGTCTGCTAAATGCAAATGTAAATAAGAGGATGGTCTATTTCCAGAGGTGTGGACTCTTGTCACATGACTTGGACTCGAGTCTGACTCCTGTCACAAATTTGCTGACTTGAGACTCAACTTGATAAAAAATTAAATAACTTGAGACTTGATTTGGACTTGAAGCCTCAAGACTCAGAACTCGACTTTGACTTTTAGAAACGTTTTGTCATTCATTTTGTGGCACAGAGTCTCTGTGGATTACTCTCCACGCAGCCAGAGAGAATATTGCACTTGCAAAAAAACAGATTTTTTTTTTTTTCATATATATTTTTATAGACTGCATATACAGTGGGGATGTAGTGTCTGAGGGTCTATGATTGTGCTGACGTTTGCAAAAGTGTGTTAGAGGAAACTTGGCTCTGCTTGCTGAAACATCTGGAAAGCATTACTAAGTTCCTGGAAAAGAGGATATGTGAAAAGCCAGGGATTGGTGTATTAAAATCACGCCATACTATGTCACATAGGATATAAATACCATGTCTTGAACAAAGGAGGGAAGAATAGCAAATCACAGAATTGGGTCCGGCTGTTCTTCAGATATCTGCAGGTATCTGTAAATCTGACGCTGAAACTCTTTGTTATAATAAACCTTTATAATCAAAGTACAGTGTCAGCGGACTTCTTATCATCACGGCATTATCAGCAACGTTGTTTTGGACACCACAGGGAAAAAAAGTATTTAGTCAGCCACCAATTGTGCAAGTTCTCCCACTTAAAAAGATGAGAGAGGCCTGTAATTTTCATCAAAGGTACACGTCAACTATGACAGACAAATTGAGAATTTTCTTTCCAGAAAATCACATTGTAGGATTTTTAATGAATTTATTTGCAAATTATGGTGGAAAATAAGTATTTGGTCACCTACAAACAAGCAAGATTTCTGGCTCTCACAGACCTGTAACTTCTTCTTTAAGAGGCTCCTCTGTCCTCCACTCGTTACCTGTATTAATGGCACCTGTTTGAACTTGTTATCAGTATAAAAGACACCTGTCCACAACCTCAAACAGTCACACTCCAAACTCCACTATGGCCAAGACCAAAGAGCTGTCAAAGGACACCAGAAACAAAATTGTAGACCTGCACCAGGCTGGGAAGACTGAATCTGCAATAGGTAAGCAGCTTGGTTTGAAGAAATCAACTGTGGGAGCAATTATTAGGAAATGGAAGACATACAAGACCACTGATAATCTCCCTCGATCTGGGGCTCCACGCAAGATCTCACCCCGTGGGGTCAAAATGATCACAAGAACGGTGAGCAAAAATCCCAGAACCACACGGGGGGACCTAGTGAATGACCTGCAGAGAGCTGGGACCAAAGTAACAAAGCCTACCATCAGTAACACACTATGCTGCCAGGGACTCAAATCCTGCAGTGCAAGATGTGTCCCCCTGCTTAAGCCAGTACATGTCCAGGCCCATCTGAAGTTTGCTAGAGTGCATTTGAATGATCCAGAAGAGGATTGGGAGAATGTCATATGGTCAGATGAAACCAAAATAGAACTTTTTGGTAAAAACTCAACTCGTCGTGTTTGGAGGACAAAGAATGCTGAGTTGCATCCAAAGAACACCATACCTACTGTGAAGCATGGGGGTGGAAACATCTTGCTTTGGGGCTGTTTTTCTGCAAAGGGACCAGGACGACTGATCCGTGTAAAGGAAAGAATGAATGGGGCCATGTATCGTGAGATTTTGAGTGAAAACCTCCTTCCATCAGCAAGGGCATTGAAGATGAAACGTGGCTGGGTCTTTCAGCATGACAATGATCCCAAACACACCGCCCGGGCAACGAAGGAGTGGCTTCGTAAGAAGCATTTCAAGGTCCTGGAGTGGCCTAGCCAGTCTCCAGATCTCAACCCCTTAGAAAATCTTTGGAGGGAGTTGAAAGTCCGTGTTGCCCAGCGACAGCCCCAAAACATCACTGCTCTAGAGGAGATCTGCATGGAGGAATGGGCCAAAATACCAGCAACAGTGTGTGAAAACCTTGTGAAGACTTACAGAAAACGTTTGACCTGTGTCATTGCCAACAAAGGGTATATAACAAAGTATTGAGAAACTTTTGTTATTGACCAAATACTTATTTTCCACCATAATTTGCAAATAAATTCATTAAAAAATCCTACAATGTGATTTTCTGGAGAAAAAAAATCTCATTTTGTCTGTCATAGTTGACGTGTACCTATGATGAGAATTACAGGCCTCTCTCATCTTTTTAAGTGGGAGAACTTGCACAATTGGTGGCTGACTAAATACTTTTTATCCCCACTGTATCAGTAGGCTAGCCTACCATTTGTATTATATATTTATACCTTTGCTTATTCGATCTGGTAACAAACATAGGCCTACGGCATTGCAACAATTTCTTTTTTCAAAAACATCTCATCTGTGCTTCAGAAACAAAACGTTGCGCATCTTGACTGTTAACCAATGACCAGTCATCAGCATTGCAAAGGCGGGTGCACATATCCAGATTAGTGACCAGAAAGCGCTTGTTTAATTTTCTTCGGTTTTGCCTGGCAAAAACAGAGTAGCCTACCTACCAGTGGCGGTCGGTGCCGTTTAAGATGAGGGAGGATTATACACTGCTCAAAAAAATTAAGGGAACACTAAAATAACACATCCTAGATCTGAATGAATGAAATAATCTTATTAAAAACTTTTTTCTTTACATAGTTGAATGTGCTGACAACAAAATCACACAAAAATTATCAATGGAAATCAAATTTATCAACCCATGGAGGTCTGGATTTGGAGTCACCCTCAAAATTAAAGTGGAAAACCACACTACAGGCTGATCCAACTTTGATGTAATGTCCTTAAAACAAGTCAGAATGAGACTCAGTAGTGTGTGTGGCCTCCACGTGCCTGTATGACCTCCCTACCATGCCTGGGTATGCTCCTGATGAGGTGGTGGATGGTCTCCTGAGGGATCTCCTCCCAGACCTGGACTAAAGCATCCGCCGACTCCTGGACAGTCTGTGGTGCAACGTGGCGTTGGTGGATGGAGCGAGACATGATGTCCCAGATGTGCTCAATTGGATTCAGGTCTGGGGAACGGGCGGGCCAGTCCATAGCATCAATGCCTTCCTCTTGCAGGAACTGCTGACACACTCCGGCCACATGAGGTCTAGCATTGTCTTGCATTAGGAGGAACCCAGGGCCAACCGCACCAGCATATGGTCTCACAAGGGGTCTGAGGATCTCATCTCAGTACCTAATGGCAGTCAGGCTACCTCTGGCGAGCACATGGAGGGCTGTGCGGCCCCCCAAAGAAATGCCACCCCACACCATGACTGACCCACCGCCAAACCGGTCATGCTGGAGGATGTTGCAGGCAGCAAAATGTTCTCCACGGCGTCTCCAGGCTCTTTCATCTGTGAAGAGCACAGGGCGCCAGTGGCGAATTTGCCAATCTTGGTGTTCTCTGGCAAATGCCAAACGTCCTGCACGGTGTTGGGCTGTAAGCACAACCCCCACCTTTGGACGTCGGGCCCTCATACCACCCTCATGGAGTCTGTTTCTGACCGTTTGAGCAGACACATGCACATTTGTGGCCTACTGGAGGTCATTTTGCAGGGCTCTGGCAATGCTCCTCCTTGCACAAAGGCGGAGGTCGCAGTCCTGCTGCTGGGTTGTTGCCCTCCTACGGCCTCCTCCACGTCTCCTGATGTACTGGCCTGTCTCCTGGTAGTGCCTCCATGCTCTGGACACTACGCTGACAGACACAGCAAACCTTCTTGCCACAGCTCGCATTGATGTGCAATCCTGGATGAGCTGCACTACCTGAGCCACTTGTGTGGGTTGTAGACTCCGTCTCATGCTACCACTAAAGTGAATGCACCGCCAGCATTCAAAAGTGACCAAAACATCAGCCAGGAAGCATAGGAACTGAGAAGTGGTCTGTGGTCACCACCTGCAAAACCAGTCCTTTATTGGGGGTGTCTTGCTAATTGCCTATAATTTCCACCTGTTGTCTATTCCATTTGCACAACAGCATGTGACATTTATTGTCAATCAGTGTTGCTTCCTAAGTGGACAGTTTGATTTCATAGAAGTGTGATTGACTTGGAGTTACATTGTGTTGTTTAAGTGTTCCCTTTATTTCTTTGAGCAGTGTATATATTTTTTATGAGCATGGCCTTATTTCTATTAATGGATGCCAAGGGAAGCCAGGCTTCCCCAAATATTTAACCAATAAAAAAAAGTAAAAAACCATACGTATCTTTCGCCTCTGTATTTTCATAATTTTCCGTCAATTCGCAAGTGGCTGAATCTCAACTGAGAAATCAGTGAGGGAAACAGCACCCCTGTCTGGACCAAAATATATGTTGCCGCAGTAGCATTTGATTGATTGATGCCAGCAAGAATTTGGCCTCCCTTTGTTAAATAAAATATACAAGAATTAGCCAATCAGCGTTCAGCTGGCCAGTTTGAATTTGGCTTCAGACCAATCAAATCACTTCTTAAGCAAAACTTCATTTTCTTTCCTAAGCCATGGATGAAGATGGGGATTTGGACTTGTGGTTTTGACTTAATTCTCTGTACAGGCCAATTATTCTGATCGAACCATGTTGTGCCACTGGCCTGAGACAATTGAAGTTCAATATGTAGCCTAGATAACGTTAACTAGCTAGCTAGCTTTCTTAGCTGGTTCATTGTTGCCCATGCGAGGAACTTAGGCAAGTAGCAAGCATTTTAGCTAGGTAGCCTAGGACAACAAAACTAAAAATGTACAGTATGACAGAGGCATAGACCGTTTTGCCAACATGAAAAAGAGGAGGATGGCATTGGCGTTCAACTAGTCTACAAGTAGGGTGAGTCAAAAATGTTTGCACACACACACACACAGAAGTCCGTACCATGGACAGCCACATTATATTTAGCGACATTGATTGGACTAAATTGTTTTTGGTATCTTTAAGTTGACTTTCAGTGTATTAAACTAAGCATACATAGCCTTGTTGATTT